TTAGGGTTTAGGGTTTAGGGTTTAGGGTTTAGGGTTTAGGGTTTAGGGTTTAGGGTTTAGGGTTTAGGGTTTAGGGTTTAGGGTCTAGGTTTAGGGTTAAGGGTTCATCAGGCTCGGGCCATATCTTGCACATGCTCGCCTGCGCAGCTTTCTTGAGCCTCCAAAACTGAATGGTGACGTCACTCCTCGCACGTCCAAAGAGGTTTGTAAAACACAAGCAGCTTTAGCGGCTGATGGGGCTCGTAGGTAGCAGGTGAATGTCCCAACGGCAAGAAACACAACCAGCACCTTAAACTGATCTTGCGGACGGCTGCCTGGGTTTTGAGATCTCAGGCCTCAGGTCTTCGGGGTCTGGGGTAGGGTTTAGGGTTTAGGGTTTAGGTGTTTAGGCGTTTAGGCGTTTAGGTGTTTAGGCGTTTAGGCGTTTAGGTGTTTAGGTGTTTAGGTGTTTAGGTGTTTAGGTGTTTAGGTGTTTAGGCGTTTAGGTGTTTCGGTGTTTAGGTGTTTAGGTCCTAACACTCAAACCCCAGCCCTGAGTCCCCTTCAGCCAAGGAGCCGGCATGAAGACCTGGTCGGGGTTCGCGGCTTGCGGGTCTCAGGGTTTGGGGTTTAGGGTTTAGGGTTTAAGGGTCGCTTGGAGTCTGAGGGTCTTAGGGTCTTAGGGTCTGAGGGTCTTAGGGTCTTAGGGTCGTAAGGTCGTTAGGTCTTTAGGTCTTGGGGTCGGGTCTTTGGGTCTTGGGGTCGGTGGGACTTAGGTTCTTTGGGTCTTAGGGTCTTAGGGTTTAGGCTCAACCCTAAACACCCTTAGCACCGTAAATCCTAAAGGCCCTGGATACAGGGTAATTAGGGAAATATAGTTGCAATTACTCATACACCCCCCCCCCATTAGGCCATTAGGGTACTAATAACCCTACTTACTAAGTCCCATGATAAACCCTATAAACCCTAAATCCCAAACCCTGAACCCTGAACCCTGAACCCTGAACCCTGAACCCTGAACCCTAAACCCTAAACCCTAAACCCTAAACCCTAAACCTAGGTGGTGATCAGGGATGGCTTGTAGGGCGCTCGGGTCGTCGAGGCGTTTTGAGTTTTGCGGTTTGAGGGCACCTCGGGGTGCTGTGGCTCCAACTTAGGGTTTAGGGTTTAGGGTTTAGGGTTTGGGGTTTGGGGTTTAGGGTTTAGGGTTTAGGGTTTAGGGTTTAGGGTTTAGGGTTTAGGGTTTAGGGTTTAGGGTTTACGGTTAGGGTTTAGGGTTTAGGGTTCAGGGTTTAGGGTGCCTCTACAGGGCTTGAGGGCTCAGAAGGCGCCTTTTGGGTGGTTCTTCCAAAAAAAGCTACAGGGTTCAGGGTTTAGGATTTAGGGTCTAGGGTTCAGGGTTTAGGGTTCAGGGTGTAGGGTTCACCCTTCCCCCCCCCCCCCTCACCGACACCCGAGTTTCAAAGGAAACGGCGGCTGTCCGCACTGGTGGCGGTCGGCAAATGCGAGAGTAGGGCCTTGGCGTTGTGCTAGGCCCGGTCACAGGAGAGCAGCGACCAGCTTCGGCATCCCAGATACCCTTGATAACTACAGGGAAAGCCCTAAGCCCTAACGCCCTAAGCCCTAACCCCTAAACCCTAGGAACCCTAAACCCTCAGGAACATACTCTGAACCATTTGGGATCCTCCTAGAAATTTACGGCGTCTTCCTGAACCTTAAAGGGGGGTAATAAAAGGGCCTCAATGATTAGATTAGGTTTTTCAGGGGCTATTATTATGGTAAATTTATAAAGGGGCCATAAGGGAATACTGCTTAGTTGCTTAGTTGCTGCGTTCATAAGCCCCGGAAAAGTGTACACTTTCAGTTCTATCCCAAAAAGAGTAAAGTGTACTCACTCAGCTACTAATAAGATTACTAGCAATTATTCCGACCCCTATGCCATTTGGGTCCTCTGAGCTTGTGTGAGCTGATCAACGTTGTCCAGGTGGAAACCCTAAAACACCTAAAACCCTAAAACCCTAAAACCCTAAAACCCCAAAACCCTAAAACCCTAAAACCCTAAAACCCAAAACCCTAAACCCCAAAAACCCTAAAACCCTAAAACCCTAAACCCTAAAACCCTAAACCCTAAAACCCCAAAACCCTAAACCCTAAACCCTAAAAAACCTAAAGCCTGCCGCTGATCATCAACGTTGTTCAGGTGGAGTTCTATGCGTACCCGGAGGTTCCTCGACCGCGTCTGGCTTGGAGTCAGAGCCACCAGCCCCCCCTCTACACCCTAGGGTTGAGGCTAGGGCTTGGGGTTTAGGGTTTAGGGTTTAGGGTTTAGGGTTTAGGGTTTAGGGTTTAGGGTTTAGGGTTTAGGGATTAAGGTTTAGGGTTTAGGGATTAGGGATTAGGGATAGGGTTTAGGGATTAGGGTTGTTTAGGGTTTAGGGTTCAGGGTTTAGGGGTTGTAAGCCCGAAGCTTAACTTCACAGACTCCCGCTTCGCGGTGAGGAGCCGCCACCTGCTTCGGGCGGCCTGGCGTGGGCAGAGTCGCCCCTTTGCGCGAGCGAGTGGGGCGCTGCCTTAGACCAATTTTACATGTACTTATAACCCACTTGTAAGTTCCTGAAGTGCCCTAATAAAGTGAAAAGTACAGTTACAAGTACACTTATAATTGGTCAATCAGTACCATGAACCTCCAAGTAGGGTTCATGGATGCAAGTCTCCGCGCCTCTTGCAGTAGGGGGGTTTAGGGTGTAGGGCTTCGGGCTTGCGTCGACACGAATCCCCGAAAGCCTAGGCTCCAAAAACATCCACAGCATGCCCCAGATGCATGCTCAGCTTGGGGTTTATAACCCTAACCCGTATAGACCCTAAACTCTAAACCCTAAACCCTAAACCCTAAACTGGCCCTAAACCCTAAACCCTAAACTGGCCCTAAACCCTAAACCCTAAACCCTAAACCCTAAACCCTAAACCCTAAACCCTAAACTGGCCCTAAACCCTAAACCCTGAAGGGTCCAGAGTGGAATGGGCCCGCACCCCAGCTCCTGCTCCATTACATCGCAGGATCCACCAAACGGTACCTGGAGCGATAAGCACTCCGCCTACATTCCCCAAGGATCCATGCACCCATGTAGGGTTTAGGGTTTAGGGTTTAGGATTTAGTATAGATTGTGGCCCTAAAGCTACTACATAATTCGGAACCCTTTTTTAAGGTCCAAGTATATACTTGTAGGTAGATAGGAACCCTTTTTAAGTCCCAAGTATATACTAGATAGGTACACGGATCCCTAGGGGTTGTCTCAAGGTGTATCAAACCGCACATCCGTGGCCGTCTGGAAGGCAGTCTCATGGCATGCGAAACGGCACACGGCAGATCGGAATCTGACCTATTTAGGGTTTAGGGTTTAGGGTTTAGGGTTTAGGGTTAGGGTTTAGGGTTTAGGGTTTAGGGTTTAAGGTAATCCACCCTCAGAACCCTGAAAACGTGAGAGGTGGTTGGATACAACAGAATGCTACCAATTGCTTAAGAACCCCCCAAAAAATGAATTTGAAAATATTCTTCCCTATAAGGAAGGGTAAGATAGGGATTATACATCTTTGATTTTGGGGGGCTCTTTAGTAGAAGGTGAAGGAATGGTAAAGCAGCAGTTATAGCCCGCTGGCATCACGAATCAGTATCGATGAAGAATGCAACGCTGCGCCAAACCGTATGAAAGCAAGCATGCGTATGGCATAAGCTCATCTACCCTAGGCCCTGACACTAAACTACCCAGCCAAAAAGTAACTGCAATGAACACTTTTAGCATCGCGCCCCGAGCCTACGACTGCCCCCCCTGCGCGGCCAGGTCGGGCTGGTAAATGTGGGGCAAAGAGTTCAAACGACTGGGAGAGATTGAGGGGATTAGGGCTTACTAAACCCTAAACCCTAAACTGTAAATTGCGCGGGTTTTGGGGCTTCGGGGCGGGGAGTCTCTATGGCCCTTCGTGCACGTCCTCTGCATGAATAAGGACGACCTGCAAAGGTCATAGGGTCCTTAAGGGAGGCGGGTTCCACGGGCGGGGGTAAGTACCTGGGGAACCTTGGGGGGAAGCTTCGGGAGTAGTGAGAAGAATATTGCAGTGGGGAACCTCGGGTTGCATACCCTTTTTTGAGACCCCCCTCCCTAAGGATGTAAAAAGAGCCACGGTTTAGGGTTTAGGGTTTAGGGTTTAGGGTTTAGGGTTTAGGGTTTAGGGTTTAGGGTTTAGGGTTTAGGGTTTAGGGTTGAGACCCCCCTCCCTTAAGGATGTAAAAAGAGTCTACAGATCTGGCAGTCTTGGACAAGCCAGGCTTGGTGCCTTATCGCACCCTCCGCTTGAAAGACTCTTGAAAGGAGGAACCGTGGAAGCAGCCACAAAGATACCCATAAACCCTGAACCCTAATCCAGAAACCCAGTACTCAACATCCTGAAGCAATGTAGCACTTGCTGGGCCTCGTAGAGAACAAACCCTCACTTACAGAATACGCGATCGCTACTCGCAACCCGAAACCTTCACAAACCCAAAAGCCCTAGAGTCCAATGCCCGAAAAACCCCTAAACCCCAAGCCCTGTACCCCTACATCCGAAGGCCTACCTGCGTCCCAAAAAGTTTTAAGGTTCTTTGCTCAGGGTTTGGGGGTTCGGGGTTGGGGGTCAGGGTTTAGGTTGCGACCTCTATATTTACAGCTCTTGTAGGTCTTGGGGCTTCTGCCCAGAGACTCCAAAACCCCTTAATTAAGGAATATACCTTAAATCATATTAGGGTTCCTATTATCATTTAAGGTATATTCCTTAATTAAGGGGTTTTGGAGTCTCTGGGTGGGTCTCTTCGAAGCTTCCTCCGACGCGGCTGCGCACGCGAAGCTGGTTCGGCCTCAGGGAACGTGGCGGGAGTCGAAACTTGAGCCCCTGAGCAATCCTAAACCCGAAAGCCTGAACCCTGCACCCTAAACCCTAAACCCTAAACCCTAAACCCTAAACCGTGCCCCGTGCCAACTCTGCCTCCTTCAGGCGACTGCCACCTCGGGAAGGCCAGTTTCCTTCTTGGCAGTCAGGGGCCTAGGGTTTAGGGTTTAGGGTTTTAGGGTTGAGAGTTTTGGGTTTAGGGTTTAAGGTTTAGGGTTTGGGGTTTAGTATATTATTTGGGCCCCATTACTTTTAAACCTTTCGGGGGGGGGGGGGGGGGGGGGGGATGGGATGGGGAGGTGGCGAAAACTAGGTTCCGGTGCCTTCTTGGTGCCTGCCAGTGCAACCCCTGTGCCTGGGCTTCTTGACTTTTTGAGCCCTTGAGGCGCCTGGAGGTTGGAGGGTTTAGGGTTTAGGGTTTAGGGTTTAGGGTTTAGGGTTGAGGGTTGAGGGTTTAGGGCTGAGGTTTTAGGGTCTGGGTGCAGGCTTTAGGGTGTAGGAGTCCCCAAGAAGGTTCCGGAAGGCTGCAAGAGGCCTGCTGAGGCGTTTTGTCGGGCTGCCCAGAATTTTTTGGTTCAACAGGAAGCCTGCGGTTTCAGCAGAGTCATCAGAGTGATTAATCACAGTAATAGTAGTGATAGTAGTGATTGTAGCGATAGAAATAACAGTAATAAAAAAAAATAGTAATGATAATTTTGATCCTGGTAATCATAGAAATGGTCATTGTAGTAATCATAGTACAATAATCGCCAAAATGACAATAAACAAATAATGACAATAATAATAATAATACGAGTAGTAATAAAAGTTTTAATATAGAAATAATAATGGTAATCGCAATAGCAAAGCAGTAGAGCCTCCAAGCATTCTAGGTGCAAGCGCAGCCAAGAACCCCTGCGCTGAGCCCCTGCTGGTTTGAAGCGTCTTTGATGGTGGGAATCGAGGGCGGCAGCCCTCAACCCTAAACGAGTGTGACCCTAAGGGTCCATGTACCTAACTATGGAATACTTGGGCCTTAAAGTACTTCCTATATAAGGACTTTTGGGTCTAAGTATATAATAATAAGGTACATGGACCCTTAGGGTGATACTTGGGTTTAGCATGTTCGCGGACCCTCACCAACTAAGCGGTCTCAAACTCCGCCTGCACACCCTCGCAGACCCGTCCTCAACCTTGGGCGTCTCGCAGACTTCCACCTGGAGTTCAGGGTCTAGGGGTTGCGGGGCTAGTGTTTTAGGTCTGGGGCTGAGGAATCCAAAGCCTTTAAAGCGTGCCAGGGCCTAGGGTCGTGCTGAACCCGAAGCCCTGAGTATGTAGAAGTACGGGATTACAAATGCCCCCCCCCCCCCCCCCCCCCCCCCCCAAACAAAAAAAACAAACGAAAGATGCTGTAACCCTGCGTGATCAGGCAAGGCTAGGAAATACCCACGTAAATCCCGGCGGTAGCAACCCGGGATTCTCGAAAGCAGGAGAGAGGGATTCGAATTTGGCGCTGGCCTTTCCAGACAGCTCGGGCTCCTTTGGCTGAGAGGTCAGCAGCGTTGGCTTGTCCTCCTGCTCAGGCAGGTTTGGGGTCTTTGGTTTAGGGGTTGAGGTTGGTGGGATAGCCTGCTGCTTAAGGATAGGGCAACTACAGCAGGGTGTTACCGTAGCTAGAAATGGTTATAACCATCTTGGTGTGGAGGGCTGGGCTGTTGCATTGAAGAGAAGAAACTTACCCGCCCTAGCTTTACAAAAACTTTTCAAGCTCACAGGGGGGGAAAAACAGCCCAAACCTGACGATTGGGACGACAGCTGCGCGAACTCAGCGGTCAGAGTTTGGAGGCAGTCGTGTCCAAAGTTCCTCTTTTCTGAGACTTGAAGGACTTCGGGCCCAGGGCTATGTTCAGGTATATTTAGGGTTTAGGGTTTTAGGCGTTTAGGGTTTAACAAAAAGACCGCACATGGTTGTTCACCGACTGGGCACGCGACTTGGATGCCGCAGAATACGCCCGAGGGCTCTTGAGAATCGGGCCTTGCGTCGGCCCCATGATTTTACTTTGCCCACGCGCGCCCATAAAGGGAAGCTCCCACCCTTAACCAGCTCAGCCTTGCAGGGCCTTGTATCCTAGACGATTTTCAGGAACTGTCTTGATTTGTTCCTCTTCTCGGACTTATACTCTCTCTTTGCATCTCTTGATCTCCCTCGCCCTCTGGTGTTGTGTACTTTCTCTCTTTGTCTCTTTCTCTCTTTCTCTTTTTCTGTCTTTCTCTTTCTCTCTTTCTCTCTGTCTCTCTGTCTGTCCGTCTCTCGCTCGCTCTCGCTCGCTCTCTCTCTCGCTCGCTCTCTCTCTCGCTCGCTCTCTCTCTCGCTGCACATGGCGAATCATGGCCGGCACTGACCACATGCCCTGGGTTCGTGGGGGCCCTAGGTGTCGAAATGCACGGCGTTCCTTGCCCCAACCCCTCCCCTGAGAGGTGTTGGCTAGGTCCCGGAAAACGGGGGCCCGGTCAAATGAATCGTCACTCCGGCAAGCAGCGACTGCCTTTGCCTCTGCAGAGGCAGACGTGTGGAAATCCGCATCAGGGGCTAGGGGGCTTCCGTGAACGCCCGTTCTGGATCGAGTGAGATGAGTCGGGTCTGCATGAAGAAGCATGCTGCCAGATGTCGGGCAGATCCAGATCACCTGTTTTTTGTTTGCCTGCCTACAAGCCCGTGATCCCTGTGAACCCTGCGTCGGCCCCGTTTAGGGGTTAGAATTTAGGGTTGAAGGGTCTATAAGGAGTTCTGGTTCAAGTTTAGGCTTGCGTGAAGGGCTTTACATACACAAACGAGAGCGACAATTTGCAAGCTTTCGACTTCAATAATTGAAAATTATTTTCGTTGGGCCCTGAAGCTGGTATATAGGAACCCTTTGGAGCCCACGTACATACTCTATCAGAACATGTACCCTTGGGGTGTACCTTGGGATGGAGACCGCCTGCACCCATGAAGCTGCAACGCATAAAGCTGCAAAGTCAGCCCTGGACCCCAAAACCCTAGATTTCTGAACTTCAAAGCCCCAGATCCCAAACGCCCCGAGGCCCTAGTTGCTGAGTTCAAAGCCCCCCAAAAGTGTACACTTTCAGTTCGAATTCTATAGGGGATTATAGTACCCCAAAAAGTGTAAAGTGTAGTGATTCAGCCACTCAGCAAAGGGTACTCCAGAGAAGCTAATGTAATAGCGGAAGGGTGAAACATGAGCAATTCCATGCTTAGCTTCAGCTACTAATAGGTAAGCGCGTCCTTCTTCAAGTGGCCCGAAATCTTCTCCGCGAGGGCTCGGAGCTTCTCAGGTTGCGGTGTGGCAGCCATCTTCTTCTCCTGCTTCGGGCTTGGGGGTCGGGTTTTAGGTTTAGGGTTTGGGTCTAGGGTTTAGGGCTTAGGGTCTTAGGGCTTAGGGCTTAGGGCTTAGGGCTTAGGGCTTAGGGTTTAGGGTTTAGGGTTTAGGGTTTAGGGTTTAGGGTTTAGGGTTTAGGGTTTAGGGTTTAGGGTTTAGGGTTTAGGGCAGGGTCATAGAACTTGTATAGGGCTTGGGTCCCAAGAACTTTTCGAAGCGAAAGTTTCGAAGGACAGTTTTGAACGAAAGCTCCTTTTTCGACTTTGTTCTTTCATAAACGCGTGGCCGGGTCCGAGGGATTCTGTTTGGGTTTAGGGTTAGGGTTTGGGGTTTAGGGTTGAGGGTTTAGGGTTTAGGGTTTAGGGTTTAGGGTTTAGGGTTTAGGGTTTAGGGTTTAGGGTTTAGGGTTTAGGGTTTAGGGCAGGGTCATAGAACTTGTATAGGGCTTGGGTCCCAAGAACTTTTTGAAGCGAAAGTTTCGAAGGACAGTTTTGAACGAAAGCTCCTTTTTCGACTTTGTTCTTTCATAAACGCGTGGCCGGGTCCGAGGGATTCTGTTTGGGTTTAGGGTTAGGGTTTGGGGTTTAGGGTTGAGGGTTTAGGGTTTAGGGTTTAGGGTTTAGGGTTTAGGGTTTAGGGTTTAGGGTTTAGGGTTTAGGGTTTAGGGTTTAGGGCAGGGTCATAGAACTTGTATAGGGCTTGGGTCCCAAGAACTTTTTGAAGCGAAAGTTTCGAAGGACAGTTTTGAACGAAAGCTCCTTTTTCGACTTTGTTCTTTCATAAACGCGTGGCCGGGTCCGAGGGATTCTGTTTGGGTTTAGGGTTAGGGTTTGGGGTTTAGGGTTGATGGTTTAGGGTTTAGGGTTTAGGGTTTAGGGCTTAGGGTTTAGGGTCCGCCACCCACAGGGCTTCTGGGATTCTGCGCCCCCCCCTCCCACCCACCGCAAATTCATGAAGGAATTCCATTCTGTTGGCTTGTGCAGAGCCTGATCTCCTTGTGCCCGGCTGCAAATAAGATAGAGACAGTGTTCAAAGCGAAGGTCATATCCGGAAATGATCCAAAAGGTAAGTCTTCAGAGAATTTGGTGCCACTCCTTTCAATCGAGCAGAGACGGTCTGGCAGAGAGTGCTGCCCTTCAGCGCTCAAGAGGTTCAAGAAGAAGCCCCGAAGAGGCCCAAAAGAAGAAGCCCTGTTTAGGGATTACCCACCCTTGGACCCCCGCGCCCTCAAGGACAGCACGTTTGTGGGGTTGCGCAGAACTAGGGTTCCCCCTTTTGGTGGAGAGATGTTCCGTAAACCCTAAACCCTAAACCCTGCACCCTAAACCCTAAACCCTAAACCCTAAACCCTAAACCCTAAACCCTAAACCCTAAACCCTAAACCCTAAACCCTAAACCCTAAACCCTAAACCCGAAGTCGCTGCTCTCGCGCCGTCCAGGCGTCCTCCTTCTTGAGGCTGCGCCTTTGCGACTGGAGATGTGCGTCGAGGAGTAGGGTTGAGGATTTAGGGTTTAGGGTTTAGGGTTTAGGGTTTAGGGTTTAGGGTTTAG